TGTGAATGCATTCGGCTGGGGTGAACTGGACAGGGAGATTGGGCATAATCGTCCGCGAAGGAGAGCAACAACTTCATGAGCTGGTGAAAGAAAGCGAAGGGAGCAGGGAAAATTTGGCGAAAAAATGGAATATATACATATGTTACAGTTAGTAACCCACTTACAAACATCGAATCATGGTATTGATTCATACATGGACTGGTTTAGAAAGAGCTGTCCGAACAAATGTACCCGGTGTTGCAGATGAGTTTAAGGCGACGAAAATAAACTTCCTGGGTACAAGTGTTATACTTACAGAAGACAGCTGCTGGTTTGAGGAGAATTGTTCATTTCGAACTATAGTAAGGATATGAATAAACTGGCGTACATATAACACGATGTTTCATTTCGAACATATCATCCAAATGCCCACAAACATACAGATTAATGAATGGAAGAGACCGTAAAACCATTTTGCAAGTGTTTCGTTGTAGGTATTGTTTAAATACACACATACACACACACATATATATATATATATATACTTAATGTGTGAATTAAGAAAAATTAGTAGCCCAGGTGGAATTTCCATCCGGCTTGGTGCAACCCACGCTCGATCAGTTGACCTATGACAACAGTGACCGTTTGATTTTGAGACCACCCAATCAACTTAGAGCGAGCTGAGCATTGAATTCACCAATCCGAATGTAAGACATCTATCCAGAATGATTTTCCACCGAATCCTCTGAATGCATTCCCAGCGAGAGGGTAATTTGCTCAAATTGTTATTTCGGTAGATGCGGGAATACAGTGGTCTTATGCTCGCATTAGGCTGTTCATGTGACATTACCGCTCAACTGGTAGAGTGTACGTGGTGCGAAAGCGTAGGCAGCGTCTATGCGTGGGTCCCAATTCCGTCGAGGCTATCGATCTTTTAACAAAGAACATAATATTAAATAATTACATGCAAAGCAGTAAAGTTATGGGGCACCCACTTGATCAAGGCGCTTTGTGTAAATAGCCGGAACAGACACACCACTGGTTACGGTTTCGTCCCTCGGATCCAAACAATAATCATTCACTCCCTGACTGGGTGTGACCGATTGGCATTGTTCACCTTGGCGCCGCTGCGCAGACAACACGAAACTCGCGTACTGTTCCAACAGCTTGACACAGCGCATGTGCAAACTATCCAGATGACACGAACAATTCGGATCATGCGGTGAGGACTCGCGAGAAAAAGACCACGATTCGTGAGCGCCTGTTTGTACAACAAGACGAAACAAGGGATTGGAAAGAGAATGAGATAGTTCAGAGTACCGGGATAGGACAAGCCCATTCAACTGTTGAGAGACACCACGCACATGAATGAGACTACGTTAGGCCGTTCAATTTGGAAAAACATTCAGTGGGCGTTCGACAAAATCATCGGATCCAATCAAAGAAATTTCCAGATTCTACTGACTGAATCCCTGGAAATCTTAATTTCTAAATAACTATCATTTGATAAGCCGGCTGCCACAGTATACACTCGAAACTTCACAGACAGCTGAGTATCGCGGCAGCGCCACATATGTCTCAAGTTGG